AAGGAATAAATAAAGTTGAGTCTGAGTCTAAGTCTAAGAGCTGTTGAGTTCAGTTCTGTCTTTGGTTCAGATGTCCTCATTTGAACAGTAAAAGTATCATAAACAGGACTGGGCTGATGGTCCATCTCTAAAAGCAGCATTAAAATAAGCATTAAAAACAGCTGCTTTTATAATCAGTATAGCATTTCATTTTTGCTCAAAACCTTCATTTTCTCATCTAAACAGAGTCTGAGGCCACTAATAGAAAAGCAGAGTTTATATAAACTAGAGATCCTCTTTTTGGGCCATTCTCTACACTCACAGAGATACTATAAATCTACATTTGCCCAGAGTGTCTGGATCATGTCCAGCCTCTTCACTCAGATTCTTCATGTCAGAGCCTGAGCAGTGTCTCTACAGTACGTTCAGCCTAGAGGAGCCACGGCGAAGAATCTTTAGTGTCAGTAGGAGCTTAGCAGACTTCCTAAACCAGGGGTAGAAAAAGGCATAGATGAGTGGGTTCAGACAGGAGTTAAAGTACGGTAGCCAGGTCTGTAAAGGCACTGCTGTTGAACTGAACTGAAAACTATCCCCTACAAAGGAGGAGCAGAAAAACGGGAAGTAACATGACAGAAAAGTAACAACAACCACTCCTAGGATCCCGGCAGCTTTCAGCTCAGATTTCCTGACGTGCACGGCCTCTGATGGCTTCAGAGTTACGGTTCTAATCTGACCCCTCATGGCCCGAGCCTGAGACACCGCCACCACAAACACCCTGAGATACAGAACTATGACCACAGATACAGGGCTCACAAAGACCAGGACAAAGTCTATGATTCCCTCATTATCATCTAAAGCTATTACACACTCGCCCTGGCAGGATTTAAACCGGTCAGGCTGAATGAATATGTCCCACAACATCACACTGATATACAGCACAGAACAGACCCAACAGAGTACATTAACAACTAAAACTCTCCTCACAGTGATTTTATAATGATAATGCAGAGGGTTACAGATGGCTACATAGCGATCGATAGAAATTAGCACCATGGTTCCCACTGGGACAGTGATCAGTATGGCGTCTATCCCACTGTACAGCACACAGATGTGGTCACCCAAGTACCAGCAACCATCTGAGAAAACCAGCAGAAAGGATATGAGGAGCCCCACGAGGAAATCTGAGGCAGCCAGAGAGAGCAGCAGGAGGTTGGTGGGGGTGTGGAGCTGCCTTAGTTGAGAGAGAAGAATCACATATAGTCTGTAAAACTTTTGAAAAGTAAGAAAAACATTCAGCAATAACAATTCCCAGTTAGAGCAGTATAAGATATCAATCATCTTGTGTAGAAGTGTTTCCTTCCATGCAGAACATTTATTTACTGCATCAAAGGCATGAGGTGAATAAGAGAGCAGGTACTTGAAGTGGGAGATGGAGATGATGACCAGCAGGTTGAGGGTGGTGGTGAGCAGAGAGATGAGGGGCAGCAAGCTGTAAGTCAGTAGGTTATCAGCCTGAGAGCGCCTCTGCTTTCTACAGGAGGAGTTGATGTGTGGAAAGCAGAGCTCCCGCTCCTCCATTGTTGGAGGAAGAGGCAGAAAAGAGAGGCAGCAGAGCTCAGGCAGCCCTGTGGCCACATCCCTCCATGGTCCAGCTCCTTTATCCTTTCCCTCCTTGTTTTCTGTTTGCTGTTTCCATGCAACAGATTCATCCCCCCTCATCCTGATTTCAGATTACATCACTTGTTTTTGCCTCCATAACTCCACAAAGCTAATGTGAGCTAAGACAATGTCAAACAGGAAACACATCAGTATCTGATAGGTAGCATCAGCTGATGATGTACCTTAGTAGAGTCCAACTCTTACTGGAAACAAGTCCGATTTACTACCATCAATGCAGACCAACTCCTGGTACATGTCATTCAGGGACCTAACAGCCCGTATCAAAGGCCTGGTACCCCATACTCCCAGAGGACCTCCCACAGGATTTGCTGAAGGACACGGTCAAACCTCTTCTCCAATTCCGCGAAACACATGAAAACTGGTTGAGGGAACTCCCATGTTCCCTCCAGGATCCTACTGATGGTGTCGAGCTGGTCTGCAATAATCACACTGCTTTTCCTGGATTCGGGGTTTAACCTCGAATCCAG